CACAAATGTCCCCCAGGCAGGCCCCGCCGCCAGCCCGGGCTCTGCCAGAGCACACGCCAGGCAGGCCGCCAGCACACAAGCAGGGCCCGCGGGAAGGTGCTGACTCGCCCGCCCGCGAGGGTTCGCCCTGGCATCTAACGGTCAGGGTGCCGGCTGCAGCTGCAGAAAGCACGGCCCCTCGGGAGCCAGCGGGTCAACGGCCCGAGAAGAACAGGCCAGGGAGTCGGAGACTGAACCTCTCCTGCGTCTTCCTCCACCTGCTGCTGCGCATCCAGCCACCATCACCGCCCCCTCCCCGGATGCTACCAGCGCCAGCTGGACTCCCGCTCAGCCCAGCAGCCCCGGGAACCCCGCCACACCCAGCACAGATCACGCCACTCGCCGCCGCCGAGGGGCCCACAAAGGCCCTTCTCACAGAATAAAAGCCTGAAAGTCCAGGTCCTTCCTGTGACGAGCCCCTCCCCCAGCGCCCCAGGACGCCCCCTCCCTCCCTCGTGCACTGTCTTCGGGGCCCTTTGCTCTCAGACACCAGCACTGAACCGGAACCAGGGCCTTTGCCCTTGCTGGCCGTCTGCCTGGACCCCTCTGCTCCAGCCTCCCGGGGACTGTGCCCTCTCCTCTGCACATGCTGTCCCCGGGAGGCCTGAGGGAGTGGCGCACCCACCTCTGGACTCCCCACCCCACGTCCCTACTGTCTATCTGGACAACAGTCACCCCCCTGACGGAGCTTGGCTCAGCCCGGCCTCTCCCGCTCACTGCACGCAGGCACAGCAGATTCCGGTCTGTCTCCTTCTGATGTGTCTCCAGCACCTGAAACTGTTGCTGGCACCCACTGTGGGTGAAGTAAATGTTGGATGAGCGAATAAATGATCAAACTCTCAACATGTTGAAAAGGCCTCCTCTCATCCTCATCAATGAGGCCAGGCAGAGATCCTCCCGCAGTCACAGCCAGGTGGACTAGCCCGCTCCCTCAGGCCTCGCGTGCAGAAACTGACGGGGCGGGAGCGACATGCCCGCAGGTCCCACGGGGATTAACAGGAAAGGAGGCAAAAACCCGGACCACGGACTCCCGGTCAGAGACCTTTCCACCAGCCACTCATCCCGCCTTTTAGAAGGAACTTCTAAGACGGCATCGGCCAGATGGGCAGGAGAGAACCAGGCGTGCAGCGGGCGGGGTCCACCAGCAAGACCACGTCTCACGGGATGAGACCGTGACCAAAGCGCCCCTACTTCTAGGTTCGCCCGGAAGACAGTGGGATCACCACCCTTTACCAGCATGAACAGGGCCGGCGAGAGGACGGCACGCGCGCTAGACTGCAGAGCTCCCGTCTGTGGAGAAAAGCAGCACACGCAGCGCACACGGGTCTGGTGCACACAAAGGCCCATCAGTCCGGGCAGTTCACCGGAGGGAAGTTTACAAATCTGCACTAATAGGAGCCTATGTGGTCTTCACGCCCTCACGCTGTAACAATCCATCACCAGGAGGCTGCGTGTGCAGCGGGCGGGCGGGCACGGGTGGGCGGGGACTTGACGCTGTCTATCTGCGCGGTGCAGAGGCAGGTCGCGGCGGCTCTGTGCGGCGACGCCGGGGGTCCCAGCAGTTCCACACAGAGCCGCGGGGGCGGGTCCCAGCAGCTCTGTGCAGCAATGCCAGGGGCAGGGTCCCCGACTCCGGCCTACCTCTTTGGGGCAATCCATCCAGGTTTGATATTTGCAACCATAGTAAAACAAAGACTTATATTTTTGATATTTATTTTATATATTTAAATGCCATTTAACAAAGAAAAATCAACCAAAAAATGAGTTCGGGTGTCGCCTCTGACACGCGTGTCATAGGTTCGCCATCACTGCTCTAGTTAAAAAATAATAACGACCAGGCAAAAGGGGGGAATGGGCGGGCAAGGATTTGGTCTGATGAGAATGAAACTGACGAGCACCACCTGGCACAGACAGCGTCCTGCTCAGTGAAGTTCAAGCAAGGAGCGCTGGGAGATGTGGCGTGGACTAAGCAGGGGTCAGGTCACGAAGGGCCTGAGGCATGATGGGAAACACTCCTGCTTCTCAGCACCCCTTTCAGGGGCCCCAGACCCAGCCCGCCTCTGTGAGCGCCGCGTGGGGCAGAGCGCGTCTTGTGAACTCCAAATCCCTGGAGACGACACCTGCCAAGCACAAGGACAGCAGCCGCAGGCACGCCCAGGACACCCATCAGGGTCGCGGGAAGGAGAGTGAGGGAATGATCACTAGGAATCACTCATCGTTCAGGCTGTGTCACAGACAAGCGCCACGCAGCCCTGCACTGTGTGGGGTGTCTTCCTCCTTCGAGTTCCTCTGGGTTCGGCTCCACACTCAAAACAAAGAGCTGAGCAGTCATGAAGCACCTGAGGGGCTGGCAAAGCCATGGGACCTGGCGGGCACCTGCCCGGGTAGACGGTGCCTGTGGCCAACGGTCACCACTGACCTCCCGACAGAAAAAGGACAAACCTTTGCAACTCCTGTCCCGCGAAGCAGCGGCACTGCCAGGGCAAGGCCACCACCAGGGCAGGGGGCACAGGGCAGCTGCACAGGCCGTGGCAGGCCACCCTCCCTGGGTCCTGCACTGGCAGTGACAGCCCCTAACCGTCCTCCACGGCCCCACACACTGTAACGGTAACACCGGAGCTGCTCTCAGAAACGCCTGGGCACAGCCCTGCAGGGCCCGGCACGGGTGCGGACGGAGGAGGAAGGCTGTCTCTGGGACACGGATCTCTGAGAAGTCGAGGGCTGCCTCCGTCTCCTGCTCCATCCCAACCCACGGCCACAACTCACACTTCCAACCGCGGACACTTGTCCTCTCCTGGTCCTGGGGGCCAGAAAGCAAAGTTGAGGTGTTTTCATTGATTGGAGAGAGAGAAAGGGAGAGATAGAAACATCAATGATGAGAGAGTCATGGATCGGCTGCCTCCTGCACGCCCCACACTGAGCCCCCTACGCGGCGGAAGAGCAGCCACGCCTGCCCTGGATCAGCACGTGCCCTGACTGGAAACTGAACCCTGACCTCCTGGTTCACAGGTTGATGCTCAATCACTGAGCCACGCCCCGGGCAACATGTGTTCTGATGCCACATGGGTCCTCTTCCGAGTCCGCGTCCCAGAGCACTTGTCCCTGTCACCACGGGGCTTCCTATTTGCTGCCGCTCCAGGTTTTCGCATCCTCTTGGACCCCGACGCTGGTTCTAATGAAAGTTCTTTCTGTTCCTCAATCAAGCTCCGTCCTACACAGTGAAGAGGGTCTCGGTGACCCGCTCCCGGTCGGCGGCTCACCCTGCGGGCCCCACATCCCTCCACCCAGACACAGTGGTCTCCAAAGCGCACGGTCCACACTCTCAGGTCCACACTGGCACGTGGCGTTTCTCAGGAACCCTGATGCTCAGCTGGGCCTGGGGTGAGTCCCCCGGGAGTGAGGGTCACACCACGATTCTTGGCGCCCAGTATCTCAGCCTTGGTTTCCAGACAAAACGGGCTTAGAAATCCTGGCCTTTGTTTACACTCCTACCTCCACCAGTGCTACTCCCTCCTCCTGCGATCCTCCCCCCACCGGCGCTCCTCCCACCTGCGCTCCTCCATAAACG